ATCTCAATTAAGTCTCAGATATTTCTCATGTCTCAGTTTTGTCTACTCTTATTTCTCCTAATGGCGTTTAGGAGAAACATCTGAGACACTGCTGATACTACAACAAGAGCTAAATAAGAATCTCAATTAAGTCTCAGATATTTCTCATGTCTCAGTTGTGTCTACTCTTATTTCTCCTAATGGAGTTTAGGAGAAACATCTGATAAACAGCTGACACTTAATCAAGAAACATAGGAGAATCACAACTATGTCTCCTGAGCTTAGAAAAAGCAACCAATGAGCAAATAGTTTTTCCTCTGGGACATCCTGAGACTGGGATCCCCCCTGAATTTGCTGGACATCATGGCTGGCCTGTACACTGGTACTGTGAGTGCTGTGCAGAGTGGAGGGGGAACCTCTACGTTCTTGCCATTTCATTCTGGGGTCCACCAGGGGTGTGTTTTTGCTCCTACTCTGTTCAATGCTTGCATGGACTGGGTGTTAGGCAGGGTTGTGGGGTCCAGCAGCTATGGGGCATCTGTTGGTAAAGAAAGATTTACTGATCTTGACTTTGCCGATGATGCTGTGATCTTAGCAGAGTCAATGGAGGCTCTGATGGGGGCTCTCGAGAGACTGAGCGAGGAGTCTGAGTGTATGGGTTTGCAGGTGTCCTGGATAAAGACCAAGATCCAGGCATTCAATGACTTCTTGGGCACAGCCATCAGTAGTGTGTCTGTCTGCTGGGTGAATGTGGAACTTGTTGAGAGATTTACCTACCTCAGTAGTGACATTCATGTCCTTGGCGACTCTTCCTGGGGTCATGAGGTTGCTGGAAAGGGGTGTATGGCGCTCCAGATTTCCCATTCACCTTAGCAAAGGGGATTTTACTATCCAAAAGACTGACTAAAGAGGTACGTCTTAAGCCTTGACTTAAAAGCAGAGATTGTGTCTGAGTTCCGAACACTAATAGGAAGTTTATTCCATAATTTTGGTGCTTTGTGAGCAAATGTTCTTCCCCCAAAAGTAATGTTCTTTATTCTGGGTATGAATAGAAGACCTGCATCTTGCGATCGAAGCGTACGATTCGGAATGTAGTTGTAAATGAGATCACTCACATACTGCGGTGCAAGACCATTTACAGCTTTATAAGTTAAGAGTAGTATTTTGTAGCCAACATGAAATCTAACTGGCAGCCAGTGTAGTGAAGATAAAATTGGGGTAATATGATCATATTTTTTAGTTTTGGTGAGGACTTTGGCTGCTGCATTCTGGACTAGCTGGAGTTTATTTAATGACCTATTTGGACAGCCGGAGAATAAGACATTACAGTACTCGAGCCTGGAGGTAATAAACGCATGAACCGATTTCTCTGCATTTTGAAAGGATAGCGTGTTTCTTAACTTGGCAATATTATGCAGATGAAAGTAGGCAGTACGGCTAATGTTTGAAGCATGTACATCAAACAAAAGATCAGAATCTAGAATAACACCAAGGTTTTTAACAACAGTACTTGGTGCAATAGATAGTCCATCCAGATTGACTATGATGTCAGATAGTTTACTTCTGGTGGCTTTAGTGCCAGTAAGAAGAACCTCAGTCTTGTCTAGATTTAACTGGAGGACGCTGTCTGACATCCACTTTTTGATGTGAATTAAACATTCCTCCATTCTCTGAAGTTGCTGTCTATCTTCTTGTTTGGCCGATATATATAATTGTGTATCATCTGCAACGAAACGAAAGCTAACTCCATGATTACAAATAACTAAGCCTAAAGGTAACATGTATAGTGAAAATAGTAGGGGACCTAAAACTGAACATTATGGCACTCCATATCTGACCTTGACATGTTCTGAGAAATCACTATTTAAATTCACATAATGATAGCGGTCTGAGAGGTAAGATTTAAACCAAGAGAGTGCCACTCCCCTTATGCCTACAGTATGTTCAAGCCTGTGTAGGAGAATGGTATGGTCTATAGTATCAAAAGCAGCACTGGGATCAAGCAGCACTAGGAGCGAGGCACAACCTTAACCTGCATTGTGAAGGAGCATCAGTTACGGCACTGTGGCCATGTGGTGCAATTCCCTGAGGGTGATCCGGCTCACAGGATCCTCATTGCTGAGGACCCAAGAGGCTGGACCAGGCCAAGGGGACACCCATGTAACACCTGGCTGCGGCAGTTGGATGGCCATTTCTGGAGGGTGGGATTGGACCATGTATCTGCCTGGGGGATCGCTGGCCGGGATCCCAAGGAGTTTAGCTGTGTGGTGGGTGTGGCAATGCGCTGCATCAGCGCATGCTCCCCAACCTGACCTAACCTTAATTTTAGTTGCTTTTGTGTGTTTTTATTGATTTTCTAATCAGTTTATATTTTTATTTATTTATGTCTGGTGACAATCATACAACATAGAATCATTTCACCACTGAAATATCTGTGATTGATATGCATGTTATAGACTTATATATTAGGGTGACCAGGTAATCCATGTCAGGGAGGACACTTGGAGCTACTTCGGGTTTTACAAACATGAAAGGCTCCTGTGCTCAGCTTAGTAGATCAGTTCTTCTTGCGCTTTGATTGGTTTGTTTCCTTGACTGAAAGACTCATCCAGCTGTTTCATATTAGCATTAGTGACACATGCATGATTATAGGAGACTGACCAATCGGCACACAGCAAGAACTCAGTGCTCAAGTGAAATCCAGGTCTGTTTAATTGAAATGGTAATTTACAATTCCTGTCCTAGCTCAGAGTGTGACTTTAGTGCAGTAAGACTAGCAACTAGACAACTGTGACTATCATGTCTGAGTGTGTCTGTTGCATGTTAAATTATAATGCACCTTTTCTTAAACAGCCTTATAACAACTTGGAAAAAATACTGACAAATAACTCAGCTTCTTCCTCTCTGCCATGATGACTCTTATTTATGGAAATACTAGATGCATGTGTATGACGTGGTTAATATGCAATCAATGCGAACCCTGTTAATGTGCATAAAGGAGCTTTATCGCAAAACCTATGTAAGACTCCTGGTAGTCAGAAGCCATCAGTGCACCAGTATAAGTAAAATGTATTTATGAAAATAAAAGGCTTTTTAACAGTCACTACTTTATTGTAAGTATTAAGGCTTTACAGCTGTAGAAATTTATGTTTTATTCAGGGGCTGCCTGGGTTTGTCTAGGGCTCATAGGCGGCTGGACCCCTCCTCAATATGCCACATCCACTTGTGGATTGGGGGACTCCCCTTGGCCACCAGCTGTCTCAGCAAGGCACTGGGCCTCAGGTGTGGGATGTCTGGATGTACCCGCTGGTAGTATTCCAACCTCCCTAGGACCCTGGGCAGCCCTACTTCCCCAGCATAGTACATGGGTCCCCCTGTGTGGGCTGGCCAGCCATAACCCAAGACATAGATGACATCCAGTGCCACAGGGTCCATGACAATGCGGTCCTCCAGCACACGAAAACCCTCATTGATGAGCGCAAACAGGCAGCGTTCCAACACCTCCTGCTGGCCTATGCTACGTGGCTGCAGCCCATGCACTCGGCGGTATTCTTCCAGGAAGGCGTGCACCCAGGGATCCGGCCGTGCCATGTGTCCCCCTGGGCCTTCATACAGGTACCAGCCGCAGCCCGTCTTCTGGCCCAGACGACCTTTCTGACAGATGAGGTCAGCTAAGGGGCTATATCTGTACCCCTGCTGTGTCTGTAAGAGCTGCCCTTGGGGCACTCCAGGACCTGTAAGTCCTGCTGCTTTGCGCACTCTCCAGCCCACGTCCAGCCCTGAGAGGTCAGACATACGGAAGACACCCATGGCAAGCCCAAAATGCTCCAGGGCGCTATCTACCTGCTCAGGGGTGGCACCCTCCTCTAGCAGGAAGCCGGCCTGTTCTACGTAGGGCCTGAGCATGCGGTTCCCGACAAAGCCAGGGCAGTTGGCAACAGCGACGCTCACCTTCCCCAACCACTTCCCCAGCTGCATGGCTGTAGCCACAGCCTCAGGGGACGAGCGGCTTGTGAACACCACCTCCAGCAACTTTATCTTGTTTGCCGGGGCAAAGAAATGCATTCCTACCACCAGATCTGGTCTGCTGGTGGCAGTAGCAAGCTGGTCCACATCTAGCTGCGAGGTATTGGTGCACAGAAGGGTATCTGGATGGCACACAGATGACAGCTCGGCAAACAGCTGTTTCTTTAGAGCCAGATCCTCAAATACAGCCTCAATGACCAAGTCCACCTCACGCAGGTATCGTTGCTCTAACGTGAAGTGGATCAGCCCCAGGTGCAACCCCACAGCCAACTTCTGTACTTCTTTCTCCAGCAGTGCCATCACCACCCTCCTTGCAGCCTCCAGCTGCTTCTCATCTGTTTCCATGGCAATGACAGGAATACCTGCCAGAACCAGGCAGACAGCAATGCCTCTCCCCATGGTTCCCAAACCTGTGGGAAATAGGGGATATATTGATGTTGATTAGTGTTGCGCGGGTCGGCTTTTTTCAACACCCGCCCCAAATCGACCCGTCAGGAGATCCAAACCGCCCCACTCAACCCGCAAAAATACGCGTGGATAATGACCCAAAACCCGACCCGACCCGACCCGAGGAAAAAAATAAAACACCAGTGAGCCTGTATTGCCATGGAACCTACCAATGAAGTGTCATTTGTGACACTGTAACCCATAGATGACATAGATTTGTGCTAGTTTCGCATTGAAAATGATGACACAATTTTATGCAAGATTAACTGTGTACCAAACAACAACAAAGAAACCTAAAGATCGATTTTTACGTCGCTATTTATTGAAGGGTTGTGGAAAATTGCAGGAATTTGCATCTCTCGCACACACACAAACACACACAAGCGCGCATGTATGTAAAACACACTAGTTATCAAAACTGTAACATCTGATGTAACAGATCTGAGAACTCAGATTTGAATGAACTTAGTGAACTCTTATCAGATTTGAATGAACTTAGTAGAACTTAGGTCTTTTAACTTAATTTTGTCTAAAATGAAGTAGAGCAGAGCATACTTAACCATGATATTTCTCCAAACTAGTAGCTTAACCTACAAATTGAACACTCCAAAATTGAAAATTATATGCCGACTGCATTTATGACAACCTTTGCATCGCCCTTTCTTAACTTTTCTCTGATTAAGTTAGTCATGTCTTCATCAGAGGTCTAGGAGAGGTTTTGGCGGTGTAAACTAAAGCTACAGATAGCTTTTTTTCCTTTTATTTAACTGATTGTGATTGTGAGTGGAACTAAGTGATCCTCGTGGTAATTCGAACCCCGTTTACAACACGTTTTGATCGATAATGAAAAGCGGTTTGTAACTTTTTGACCCGCCCACCCGCACCCACGGGTGCCCTAAAACCGCCCGCACCCGCGGGTCACGGGTCGACCCTCGCATCACTAATGTTGATCATATACAACAACTAGTCCAGCCATAAAGATGCAGGGAGGTCCTACCGATGACAGCGGCCTTGCGGATGGGTCTAGCGGTGCTGTTGTCCCAGCAGGCCCCATTAGGCATGCTCCACTTGCCCACGGCCCTTTGGGAAAAAAAACAGTACTGCAGGGCACGAGCCTGAGGAGAAGCAAACAGCATGGACATCAGCTTCTGTTCTTGCTGCATGCCCTGGCTGTACGGCAGCCTAGCTGCCTGTACTGCTTGCACACAGGCCACGGGTGCCAGGGCACCTCGCCCACGCTGCCATGCTCTCGCCAGCGCCATCTGTAATATGTTGTCCAGGTCTGCAGGACACAAGGGTGGCCATGTGCTGAGGCGGCGTGAGACCAGTGGACAGTCTGAAACAAGGGTTAGAGTAGACTCCGTTAATATAATGAGAGCAAGCGCAAAGAGAATGCATAGAGCAAGAGCATGCTTTATCTGGACTGAGCAGGCTCAGTCCAGTCTAGTGCAGGGCAAGTGCAAAGAGCATGTTCAGTTCAGTGCAGTGCAAGTCCATTGAGCACGCACAGTCCAGTGCAGAGCAAATGCACAGAACACACACAGTTCAATGCAGTGCAAACTCACAGCGCATGCTCAGTCCAGTACAATGCAATGCAAGTGCAAAGAGCATACCCAGTCAAGTGCAGTACCATGCAAGCACCCATACCATGCTCAGTCCAGTCCAGTGCAGTATAAGTGCCCAGAGCATGCTCAGTCCAGTACAATGCAATGCAAGTACTGTATACAGAGTATACTCAGTCCTGTGCAGTGCAGGTCAAGCGGAGAGAGCATGCTCAGTCCAGTCCAGTGCAGGGCAAGTGCGCAGAGCATGCTCAGTTAATAAGGCCCAAAAAGTCTAGTCAACATGCTTATCATTTATTCAGAGAAAAACCTCATTAACAGTGCAGTACCCAAATGTACTTGAATTGTACCAGGTGTGAAGATGTGAACTGTGAAAAAAGCTGTGACGTTGTTTCACTGCGTTCACCTACCAACTACACTCCGAGCGAAGGCCACTGCCACTTCACCAGCATTTCTTTCTGTCACCTGGTCTACGATGCCCAGTTTCAGGGCGTCCCCAGCTGACACACGGCGACCTGATCAAGGCAAAACTGGATATGATCTGTACAGTTCCTAATTTTGGAAATATTTCTTATTTCCTCAATACACATAATAGTATGCAATTTTTCCATAAAGGGCAAATATTCCACATGTTAATTGTTAAAACATATGTTTACTTTTAAAATAGTCAGCTAAAGTCTTCTGACTACCAAGACATTTTAATATTAAATAAAAAGTATTAGTATATGTAGACTTCATGTCTCATCCTGTGTAAGGCAGCCAGTTTTGTTTGTTTCATTTTCTACTATTAGTACTGTTAAGGTGCTCTTATACTGTACTAGGTACTATACTTTTGGTACTTCAAAAAAGTAACAAAGGAAGGAGCCCATCCTTCAGGGTCCAGCAGAGGAAAGAGAACAAGAGGGCAAAATCCTAATTTACACAGAGCAAATTTTAAGATTTGAAACTCAGTGCAAATGGCAAGCAGGTGATGGCAGTTTCTGACAGCAGGATGAATGAGTGGTACAGCAGAGTAGGGCAGGAAGGAGAGATGTCACAGGCAGAAGGGTGGGCAGGCTGGATGGATGTCACAGATAGTACAGGTATTGCAGGCAGCAGGGTAGGCAGAATATTTAGATTTTTTTTGTTCTGTAGCTGGCCATAGCTATTTCTACTCTAGGTACTAATAGATATCCTGCTGCTGATTGAATTATTTAGTTTTTGTAGGAACTCTCTCTGCTGCATTTAGTAGTGGACAAAGACCAACAGTTAAAACAATTCAGGTGTGGACTGAGGAAGCCACCGCAGTCCTACAAGACTGCTTTGACACTACGGATTGGGGAATATTTGCAGAGGGAACAGAGGTTAGAGCCTAGAGCAGGGGTCTCCAACTCCGGTCCTGGAGAGCTACTATCCAGTAGGTTTTCTGTCCCACTTGGCTTCTGATGAGCCACACCTGTTCCTGGTGCTAAGTGGTTTTATTTCTCTGAAGGGATGAAAAAAACAGCTGTAAAGTTTTTTTTTCCAACATGCATTTTTTCAAGAAGTTATTTATATGTCCACTTTAGTGAACTGCAAGCATTTGACGTTAACTCTGGTGCACTTCAAATCTGTACATGTATCCTGAGGTTCCTGCTCTCACCCACATCTTCACTCCCCAGGGTTCGGGTTTTTTTTTTTTTGGAATGTACTGCATGAGTGACAGATGGCCTTTGAAGGGAATAATCTGCTCGTCAATTGCTTGAAAGTCTTCAGCTGTACACTGTAATGACCGCCATGCTGTGTATAAAGTGGTAATGCTGTGTGTATATAAGTGCTGAACGAAAAATAATTTCAGCATTGTCATCACGATGTGCATGTCAGTAATAATCATATCACATTTGTCAGCACTGCTTTGCTGCTTTTGCTGTTCTACACCAGCAACGTAATTGACACACTCTACTGTTAGATAAGTTTTGTTTGGTAGTAGTTTATCTCAGATAATTTTTCTCCTTTTTGGTTTTATAAATATTGCAATGTGATAATTGTGCAGCCCTATATATACATTTATATTTTTAATTAATTCTTCCATGTAGCACAAACCAAGTGGGTAAACAATATCCTCTCCAATCATACCATACTACTACATTTTCAAAGCACTTGATATTATGTATGTTATTTAATACTTTCACGTTGATACACTACCTTCCTTCAGCTGCATTTTCCGCCATCTTAACAACAGTGTTTAGAAACATTCATTTGAACTATGGTTTTGGGAAACACCTATATGGCTTTATCGCTGGTTCATATGATGTAAATTGCCAGCGTAGTTACCATCATAGTTGGTAGTTTTGGTTTAGGGAAACACTTGCATCACAACTGCCTTGTTCCAACTATGCAAATTGCTAATGTAATAAGCAACTATGCTTTAGGAAAATGCATCCCAGAAACCAGTGGAAAAGGGAAAGTACGAAAAGTACTGTACCAAAAGTATGGTACCTAGTGGAGTGGAAAAGCGCCCTTAAATGCTACCCATTTAACCGTGAGCATGTTGATTGCATCAAACTACACTGATAGCTACTCCAGCAAGCCACAACTCAGAGTGGAATGAAGAGGCTCTTGCTGCTGCTTTCACCGTCACCTGTGATAATCATGTCAAGAGCTGCAGGAAACCCAATGAGCCTGGGAAGGCGCTGTGTTCCTCCTGCAGCGGGAATGAGGCCCAGGGTCACCTCTGGGAGTCCAAGCTGCGCCTGCAGTTTCCCAGAGAGAAAGTGTCAGCTTTCCAAAACAGAAATGGAGCAACCCCTCCCCATCCACCCCAAGAAATCCAGGTCAGTGATCCAGAACACACACTGGCTGCTGATGCCAAACCCAGCTGTAACGGGGGCAGTGTGTGGCTCAGTGGGCTAAGTCTGTGTGCCTGTCATCAGAAAGTCACCAGTTCAGCCTCAGCACGTCTGTAGGTTCTTGAGCAAGGCCCTTAACCCCCAGCACCCCTGGGCGATACTACGGGTGGCTGCCCTTCACAAACAACTTACTCTACAAAGAGCAAGCTGAGGGAGGCGTAAAAACAATTTCCCCACGGGGACAATAAAGTATCAATTATTATTATTAACCTTCATAAGGAGGTAAACTGACTGACCTTCGAGTGGGCAATACGGTAGTGACACCCCAGAGCCAGCTCTAAGCCGCCGCCAAGTGCCATTCCCTCAATGGCAGCCACCACAGGCTTCTCTCCAGCTTCAATGGCATCAATCAGGGGGACAAGGGCTGGCCCAGTCATAGGCCTAGAAAACTCACGGATATCTGCCCCTGACATCAAAAGCAAGAAACAACGTCAGCCATGCCTTCCACAAGGTGGTGATGTTAATCACGATAAGGAAATATTCTAAATCAGTGAAGTTTGCTTTCTACAATGAGGATACTTTAAATAGGCATATTTCTAAGAGGCCGATTAGGGTTAAATATACACACTCACGCCACTTGAGCAGTCACATGAAACGCTTACTCACACACACTGCTTGCAAATATCTAAATACTACTTGCTTAAACACACATTAGGGTGGTCCTCAGCTATGACTCAAATTTTTTAAATGGCAGGTTTTCAAGCACTGACCCTTTTATCTTGGGATACATTGCAATTTTTTGTAGTTTTTTTATTCTTGTTTAGAGGTTGCTCAACAAGATTAAAGTCAGTAACTGTAAATGATCAAAATAAACAAAATATCAAACTTTTCATATTTTGAAAACAAAATGACTACAGTAATAAAGAATATTTATTTGTTTACCTGCAAAAAAATCACAAATAAGTAAGAACAAAAATGTCTGTAACCAGCGATCAATATATTGACACTATGGTTGAATATTCACGCTGGCTAAAGCCTAGGTTAGTTATTCACTGTCGGTAATACTTGTTAATCTCTTGGGTCATTCATTTTATTGTTAGCAAACATCGTGTTTTTTTTTTTTGCACTTTAGCGCCAAGGGTACCCTCTACCATATTTCTTAACATTTAGTTAATTTAACTACAAGAATCAAGAATCATTTGTCTGTTGTCGCAGTGTATGCTCCGACTGTGGTGAGTGATGTCTCGTTGAGGGAAACATTTTACTCACAACTTCGCTCAGTGGTTGATAGGTGCCCACGAGGTGATACTCCTCTGGTCATAGGTGACTTCATTGTGATTACAGGCACTGACAGGGCTGGCTATGAGGATTGTGCTTGTCCCCATGGGTCTGGAGAATGGGGTGAGAGTGGCTCCATGATCCTTGACTTTGTGAAAGGTCAGCGGCTGCAGGGTGCTGGATCCTGGTTCCAATGCCCTGAGCCACATTGTTGGACTTGGTACTCCAATCCTAGTGGTGTGGTGAAGGAGATTGATCACATCCTCGTGGGCAGATGCTGGAGGGTCCTGCAGAACTGCAGGGTCTACAGACGTGCCCAGTTTGTGAATTCTGGCCGCAGACTTCTGTTCTTGCTACTCTGAAGATTCAGCTTAGATCCAATAGGCTATAACCTACTAGGAGAATGAGGCTGGACTTGGCCAGAGTCCAAGATCAAGCTGTTTCTGATGAGTTTGCACGCATTTTGTTTGAGGAACTTGCAGACTTGGGTGCGACTGCCGACCTAATGTGATGTGGGAGACCTTCCGTTATATAACCCTAAAGGTTTCCAAGGGTTGTGTTGGTGTTGCTGGTGTTCCCAGAAGGAGATGTTCCATTTAGGAGTCAGGTGTGATCCCAACTGACTGGAAAACGAAACTCATAGTCCTTGTCTGGAAAGGGAAGGGTGATCATCTGGATTGTTGCAACTACAGGGGGATAACACTGCTCTCAGTGCCAGGTAAGGTTCTTGCGAGGGTCATCCTTAACAGGATCCATAATGACTTGCTTGCCTATCAGCGGCCGGAGCAGTCTGGTTTTACACCTAAGAAGTCTACCATCAACTGCATCCTTGCACTGAGGGTTCTCATTGAGCACGAATATTGGCAGAGATTCTTTTCAGCCTTTGTTGATCTTCGTAAAGCATTTGACTCAGTTGATCGAGTTACCCTGTGGGACATCCTAAGACTTCGCAGCATCCCCCTGAAGTTGCAGGACGTCATGGCCGGCCTGTACACTGGTACGGTGAGTGCTGTGCAGAGTGGAAGGAGAACCTCCGTGTTCTTCCCAGTTGATTTTAGGGTTTGCCTGGGGTGTGATCTTGCTCCTACTCTGTTCAATGTTTGTATGAACTGGTTGTTGGGCAGGGTTCTGGGGTCTAGCGGTTGTGGGGCATTTGTTAGTGAAGAAAGTTTTACTGATCTTGACTTTATCGACGATGCTGTGATCATCGCTGAGTCAATGGAGATTCTGATTGGGGCTCTTGAGAGACCCTCCAGTCCCCGTTCCGGTCCTGTCCCTTCCTCGTCGGCGCCCTCTAGTCCTAGTTCCTGCCCCAGTCCTGTAGTCCCTTCCTCGTTGCCACCCTCTAGTCCCCATCCTACAGTCCCTTCCTTATCGCCCTCCAGTTCCCGTCCACATCCTGCAGTCCCTTCCTCACCGTCACCCTCCAGTTCCCGTCCTGCGGTCCCTTCCTCATTGTTCCCCTCTGGTCCCCATCCTTCCTTATCGTCCTCCAGTCCCCATTCCAGTCTTGTGCCCTCCTCGTCGTTCCCCAGTCTTGTAGTCCCCTCCTCGTTGTTGCCCTCCGTTCCCAGTTCCCGTCCTTGTCCTAGGGTCCCTTCCTCAGTGTCCTCCAGTCCTTCGCTCCCTTCCTTGTCACCCTCCGGTCCCTTTTCCCGTCCTGCCGTCATTGCCTCATCGCCCTCCAGTACCCGTCCTTGTTCACGTCCCACAGTCCCTTCCTTGTCACCCTCTGGTCCCAGTTCCCGTTCTCACTCCGCGGTCCCTTCCTCGTCGCCCTCCGGTCCCAGTTCCTGTCCTCGTCCTGCAGTCCCTTCCTCGCCGTCAACCTCCAGTTCCCGGCCTCCAGTCCATTCCTCATCGCCCTCCAGTTTCTGTCCCCGTCCTGCAGTCCCTTCCACCTCGCCCTCCAATCGGCCACCAGGCCCACACCCTACCCAACCTTTCCCTTTTATGTTTCCTGGCCAGCAGTCCCAAGGAGTCCCGTTGCTACCCTTCCCTTTCAGTTCATCTGCACCATTTCAGTCCCAGTCCCATGTTCCTGGTCCTTTCCCTTCTGTTTCCCCTCCATTTTGTTTTCCGCCTCATGCCCCAGGTTTTGTTCCTCCGTCCCCGCGTCCATTCCTGAGTCAGTTGGTTTTTGGTCCCCATGTTCTGTCTCCTGCTGTGTTTTCCCGTCTGGTCTTTTTGTCCCAGCTCCTGGTGTCTGCTCTGTCTATTTTCATGCCCTTCTTGTCTGAGTTTTTGGTTTTGTCTGTCCAGTTTCTCAGTTGTCGTTAGTCTGTTCCCTGTCCGGTTCTGCGTCTTGGTCCTGTCCATCCATCCTGTCTGTCCGGTTCCTTGGTTGTTGTTCGCTTGTTCCCCGTCCTACTCCGCGTCTGCGTCCTGTCTGCCTGTTCTCTGCGGCCCTGGCAGTGCCCCGGCGCGCGTCCGGTGTCCGCGCGTTAGGTGGGGGGTACTGTCAGGGGGTACTGTCAGGGTCAGCCTCCCACTGTGGTCCTTCCGTGCCCCTTCCCCGTTTGACCAGCAGGTGGTGCTGGTCATCCCGTCCATACACCAGTCCTTGTTTCTCCCCTGTCTCTTGTCTGGTCTCGTGGCTCAATGTATTAAGCATGTGCTGTCTGTTTGCCCCTCGGTCCTGAGTTCCCTCTTGTTGTGAGTTCGATTCCCGCCTCCTCTG